GGGACCGGGTGGCTGTGACGCGGGGGTCCCTGTGCCGTGCCCTGCCCTGTGCACAGCGACTGTCCCACGCCAGGATGGGTGGCCCTTCCCCAGGCGGCTGAGGGTGATGGGGTCCCTGCTCTCCTCCTTGCTCCCAATGCAGGCTGCAAGGCACAGACGTGGTGATCGCCATCTTCATCATCGTGGCCATGTCCTTCGTGCCAGCCAGCTTTGTGGTGTTCCTGGTGGCCGAAAAGGCCACCAAGGCCAAACACCTGCAGTTCGTGAGTGGCTGCGACCCTGTCATCTACTGGTTGGCCAACTACGTGTGGGACATGGTGAGCAGGGCACGGGGCCCCAGCGGCCGAGCCCCCCCGGCTGGGTGGGTGGGTGGGCAGTCACAGAAGTTTCTGTCTTCTCCAGCTGAACTACCTGGTGCCAGCCACGTGCTGCATCATCATCCTGTTCGTGTTCGACCTCCCGGCGTACACCTCTCCCACCAACTTCCCTGCTGTCCTCTCCCTCTTCCTGCTCTACGGGTACGTTGCTCAGAGGGGTGGTCAGGAGGCACCGGTGGGTCCCCCCAATGCGCTGTCCGCGCCTGTGGGTGCCTGGGCAGGATCTGGCCCCGGGGCTGCCCATCTGGCTGATGTTCTGCAGCTCCTGTAGCTGCCGGGCTGTGAGGGCTGGGGTGGGAGAGCCCGGGGGGGACGGGGCTGGGAGATGGGCGATCCCAAGGCTTGACGGTTGGCGCTGCCCGGTCCCTCTCCTACCACGCTGACGTGCACTCCTGCCGCTCGCCTTCCCAGCTGGTCCATCACCCCCATCATGTACCCTGCCTCCTTCTGGTTTGAGGTGCCCAGCTCCGCCTACGTCTTCCTCATCGTCATCAACCTCTTCATCGGCATCACAGCCACCGTCGCCACATTCCGGCTGCAGCTCTTGGAGCACGACAACGGAGTAGGGAATTTACGGCTCTGGCTGGGGCCACCAAGAAGGGAGAAGCTGCCATCGGGTCGTGGGACAGCTCAGGCTGGGAGGGACCTCAGGACGTCTCTGCTCCAAACTCCTGCTCCCAGCAGGGTCAGCTATGAGACCTGACCGGGCTGTATCTTGGTGGGGATCCTGATCCTACCATGCGCTCGCGGTCCTCAGGGGTGTTTCTGATGGTCGTGTCCTCTCTGCCCGTCCTCACAGGATCTGAAGGTGGTGAACAGCTACCTGAAGAGCTGCTTCCTTGTGTTCCCTAACTACAACCTGGGCCATGGCTTGATGGAGATGGCCTACAACGAGTACATCAATGAATACTATGCCAAGATCGGTATGGCCTCTCGTTCCCTTCTTCCCTTGCTCCAGCGCATGTGGGTCTGGGGGGCACCACGGAGCTGGCACATCCCCTCCGCCTGCCCTGTGGGGCTTCTCGAGGCCCCGAGCAACCTGGAGCAAAAAGCCAGGGGATGTGAACCAGACTGGGGCGCAGGAAGAGACATGGTTGAGGGTCAGCCGTGGCGTGGTGCCAGTGATGCTGCAAAAGGTTCCCTGGGCCATCCTGAATAGCAGCCCCACGGGGAGAGGAGGTTGTGAGCCCTGGCAGAGTTGTGCGTTTTTGCTGCTGTTGCGCACTGCCTGTGGTGGGGCCATGGTGGGGCTGTGGTGGGCTGTGGTGGAGCCATGATGGGCTATGGTGGGTCATGGTGGAGCCGTGGTGGGGTCATGGTGGGCCATGGTGGAGCCGTGGTGGGGCTATGGTGGGCCATGGTGGAGCTGTGGTGGGCCATGGGGGAGGCGCGGGGGGGGGATGGGGGGCCACGTGGGG